TTGACAACGCTGCTAAGACACTGTACTTAGATTCTTGATTCTTTGAATTATTTTTTTCTGATAATGTAAATCACTTTATAGCCCAATTAGGTTGTTTAAGGCCTTGTTCAGGCTTTGTTATTCACAGTACAATTGAAGAAGTTAGATCAGCTGTCATGTGAAACAGTGTTGAAAAGCGAAACTTCTTTCTGTGCTAATATCCTATGCTTGTGAATGCAAATAGAAATGAGTAATAACTATAGCAAATAGATCTCAACTGTGTTATGGTGCCGGTGATGGTACTGGGATTCCAACTTGACAATAATTTGGATTTGAAAGTACATATGACCTGTTTTTGTGAAAATACTTCAAGGTATCGCTTCTCTCTGAAAGCACCAAGAAGTGGATGGGCTTAGAATCGCATATTTTGGAATGGAATATTGATATGGAGTGCTTTCTCATGTACGAGCGAAGTATCCATTCTCCAGAAGAAGATGAGAGTTTAAGAAAAAGGTTAATTTCAGAACACATGATAACTAGTATTTCGAAAATGAAGCATACTGACCTTATATTTATATTTTATAGATACATAAAATAAATATGACAATGGCTCCACGATTCACAATTATTATACAAAACACAAAAACTGAGTTTTTTTCATAAAACCCTATAACACTCTCCATAGAGTGGGAAAAGGTGAATAGAAAAAATAAATAAAGTGAAGAATAATTAGACCACCCGTCATTCAAACTTTCTATTTGATTGATAAGTGGTTATCAACTGAAATAATTACTATCCTATATATGTCAAAAAAATTTTTATTGTATTATTTTTGAATATGTTGTGTATATACAGTTTTACATGTCTAGTATGATAAAGGTGAACAAATTCTGTTGTTTTTGATATTTTCTAATTCAACAAAAAAAATCATTCATTCATCCAATACCACTACTAATTCCGTCGCTTTTCCACTGATACAATTAATCTATCCTTGTTACTAAAGTTTCTCTCATAGTTCCTCTCAAAAACGGGGCAAAACCGCGGACAAATGTTTCTGGCTATTGGCCTTGTCCAGCGTGGTGCAGCCAACTGCAAAGATGGACACTTGTTTGCCAAAAAATATACATATGTAGGGAGTCACCAACAGCAGCACATTTGTGGTTTCAGTTATTTTTTGGTTTGTATCAAATAGATTTCAATTTAAAAGCTGTTTCAGCCTATTGGACATCGTCAGTACCGGGCAGGCATTCCTCGATTGAAGACAAAATGTGAAGAACCAAGAAAATTACTCAATAAAAATAACTGCGTAAACACAAATGAGACATAAGTGGAACCACCTATTGGTGTAACACCCAAGTCAACTTGCAAAGTTTTTATGTCAGTGTTGGTGGTTTGATCAATCAACCGACAACTGCAGTAGCAGAAATTTGGGAAGCTATCCTGGAATGCCATCGGAAAACATTCAAGCTGCTATCTCACTGACGATTTTTTCTCCTAAACTAATCCACATCAAAACTGTCACTTGTTGGTCATTGCTCTGGTACATATACTACTTTCAAATGCCCTCATAAACAATAAAAAGTATCAATATTTTCCAAAAGATATTCATCCACCTAGCATATATTCGTGACACCAGCTAACAATCAGCGTACCAGGTAATGCCATACATCATACATAGTCCAATTTTTCATTGGTAATTTAACGGAAATTTATTAGCAATAATGCTTGTACTTATATAATACCACCGTCAGCTCCTTATTCCATATATCACTGCTTACTCACTTCTTATGGCCCCTTCTCTCTGTTTTGTTGTCAGATAAAATATATAGAATGATAAAATAAATAGAATCACATTCTAATTACAATGTTTTCGTTTTAATGCAGTAATATTTCTGAGAATTTAGTGCCTACTAATATGGAATTTTGATTCGCAATGGTGAAGAAACACATTGTTGATAGTGAATACATGACAAGTTAGTTTTCATTACTGCTATCATATGTAAATGAGATCAGTATTTGCTTATCTGGTGCCTCAGACTGTCCCTATTTTATTTCAGTGATCACCCGAAGAATATTGTCGATACTAGCAATTGAAACGTCATGAAGAAACTTGGTTTGAAATCTTTTAATATTTGATTAATTTTTATTTCACTCTAATTGACTTTTCAGGACTTTTTTTTGCTTAATGTAATTGTTATTTTCAGCTAGTCTTTTAAATTTTCATTTGTTATTTCAGAGATTTCAGATCATATCATATTAGACAATGGAAGTCCGAACTAATGAAAATCACCATGAAACATTGTCAACCACCTTCAAACAAACCTGTTTTATTTACTTTGACACACAGGAAATCTTAACCAATTTTTTTGGGAATAAATATTGTAAAAATGATCAAATTCATTTCAAAATTATAAAAAATGAGCAGTAGTATTGTATTTATTCCCATCAAATTATAATGTTATCACTTACATTTGGGAATTCTTTTCTTGCTAATAATACTCATTCAGTTGTTCAACACAATTGTATGCAGTTAAAAATATACTTCTAACTAACCGTTGTTGAAAAAATGAAATTTTTTTGTATTAAATTGAAAAAGTACAAGGAATCGAAACAATGTCAAATAATATTGTCATACATTTTACTCAATTTTACATTATCTTATCCTAACCTAACTTAATTTTTTTAAGTATAATGAGAATACAGCCATAAATTTATCTTAATTTTACCTCAATTCTATTAGTTTTGTTTTAATCAAGTTTTAAACAACTGGTAAAGCACTTAATTTATATATTACAATGTCAAATAATATTGTTTAAATTTTATATCAATCTCAATAATCTATTTCCTGACATTTTTTAAAATTATAATGAGAAAACCGTCATGAGTTTTACTCAATTTTTCATTATTTAATCCTAACCTCACATAACATCATTTTTAAGTATAATGAGATTACCGTCATACGTTTTACTCAATTTTTCATCATCTTCATTTTACCTCAATATCACATTACATTTTATATTCAAATTAAAAATCTATTAAACATTAAATGTCACAGTTCTATCATTCAATATTCAAGTAAATGGCTACCATATCCAAAAAAAAGCCTCCGAAACTGTTATTTCTACATATATACAAACTTTCCTAATACCTAGAGTTCTGCATTGGGCCTTATTTTCTAATCTTTTTTACTTTTTACTTATAAAAATTTGTAGAAACAATTTAACACATCAGGTATCACTGTTTGATGAAAATACAAAATGTTGATTTGTTTTTGATATTTTCAAATAACATATTACAATCTTGGATACTCGCAGAGTATTGCTGAAACACATATGCCATCAAACAATCCTAGAATATTGGAACTGTTACGCGAATTAAAAACTACTTGAAAACGCCTGAAATTAAACATTAAAAATCAAAAACCTAGCCTCCGTTTAGCTCGCACAAGTCACTTGGGGACTTTCAAAGAATGCTCATTAGAAGGCACCTGCTCCTCAAAAAGAAATTTTTATTTGAAACAAATTTCACGGTCTTGATGCTTGAACTACTTAGTCATATAAATGACAGGGATCCTTGGTGGAATTTTCCGTCAGTAAACTGCAGGGGGAGTCTTCCTCGTCTCATTACTTTCAGTGAGGGCATGCTCATCATTCACCTCACCGAAGTGGTGAGCGGTTTGTGGGATATTTACACCAGTTTGCTTTCCGTAAGAGCCGAATCAATCGGTTAATAAATCTGTTGGATGAAAGCCTTAGGGAAAAAATATGTTAATGCATGCATTTTACAAAGTGGAGAGTTACTTTTGTCATTTGACTTGACAAAAAAGAGAGTTTCATGATTCACATGACAGTATTACGATAAAACTAAGTCTGCAATAACAGAAGAGTTAAAAAAAAAGTTATGTTTGTCATTAGTTCTGAGTAAGTTTCTCATTGTTTTACCAAGGAAGTGGTTGGCATGTCACACAAAAAAAATATTATTTATTGTTTCATGGTCATGAAGCATAGAGACACCTACATTTTGTTTTATGAGAGAGAGGACATTGGCAGATCAAGATCTTCAGATGATGTGGTGCTGCAGGTTTTTCCGGGTTTTCCTACAGCTGAAAAAGCAAATGCGCCACTGGAATCAATGAAGTCGCCCTGGATCGCCAATTAATTTTTATTGTTGTTTTTATGTTTTATCGTTGTTTTATAATTTCACGAATATTATGTAGTTAATAACAATTTGGGAAAGTTCAGGATTGTTACAATAAATAGAGAGGGCAAGATATAAATGCAGTAAAAAAAGATAAATATAATGGAACTGATGATGAAGTTGAGCGATTGAGTTCTAATGTTTAATAAGAAATGGTATACATAGATCTACTTACTGTTTTACAATTGCAATAACCATCCAATTCCCCCCATTCAGACAACAGCAGATTTTGAGTTGTTATTCTCCACACAGAAAAATATATGAACTGAGAAGCATATATCATTACAGTAACAGTTTATAAGTTACTTTTGATAAAAAGAAATGCTTTCAAAAAATATTTTTTTTTTAAACAAAACCATCCAATGAATAATTAAACAATGTGTCTTCATTGGTTACGGCCTATTATTGCAAAAACGAATTTAATTATAATGATAAATGAATTCTGGATGTATCACTATTAACTGATACCGAAAGAACCAAGCGTAGCGGCCCAGTTACCACCTCAAAAAAAAGTCACAAGACCATAACCTTCGATAGCTCAGTTGGTAGAGTGGTGGACTGTAGTGGAATTCATAAATTGTAGTGGAAGGACATTAGATTTTGAATACTGGATACATTAGTTTTATGTAGAGCATTTTTATCATTACCTTTTGAACAACCTTGTATATTTTATTTTAAAATGAATTCAAACTGAGTAAGCAGAGTTTCAATATTTGCAAAAAATATTGTCAGAAAATTTAAAAAATACGATTTTTTTTGTAGACAAACTAGAACTTTAAGACATTACTTTAATTACGTAAATGAAACAGTATTATCCTACTTACCTGTCTGACATAGCAGATTCGAAACTTTCTGAATAAGACTTTCCATTCAACGACCGCCTGTAAATATCCTCTCGGCTGTGGGAATGTACAATTTGACCGTTCATTTTATGTTTGTTCTCTTGCATTTCTTGTGGCCCATCTAAAATGATATGAGTCCCACGATACTCATCACCATATTCACTTTTGGTGCTACCCGTCTTTCCAGAAGAAGTATTCGATAAGTCACTAGTGGATCCTTGATAATCATTAGATTTATCACTTAAATAGGAAGTCGAATCCTTCACCTGAACCTAAAACATTGAATTCTTGGAATATTGGAATGATTATGGTAACTTTGGGAGTAATATATATCATTAAAATTATTACAAATGAGAACTTTCATAATTAATCAACAAGAAATACCATAAATACTATTAAAATGAACATGAGAACTAATATAGTATGTGACTGTTTTAGTTATTATTACCAAGTGACCTTGAGCAAGAACATTATTCAAGAAGTTTTAGTGCAAATGTGATGCTAGATGCTAAGAGACAAAATGCTTTCAGATTGGAGAAATCCAAACATTTTATATTTTTCATATTTTGACCCAAACGTTAGTAAATAGCCCCTTAAGGTGGAACACTTCTTGGCAACATGTTTGAAACTGACCTTTAGGAATAGAAATATAACCAAATAAAAATATCTCTTTTTACTTTGCTCAAATTTGATCTCATTTACATTATGGAAGCTTCTGAGGAAACTGTGCACCATTTTTTCCCAATACACTATTCTCGTTACAAAAAAAGGACCTTCAGATATTTATGCAAAGATTCATACCATCCTTCATTCGTGGAACAAAAGAATCTGACCTTGAAATACATTTTTATTTTGGACAGTGTGTCTTATTCACAAAATATTTAGAAATCAAATTAATATCACCTCAACAGTTCACATCAATCGCATCTCATTTCTTTCACGTTCCTTAACCTACACTAGTAAATAAAAATTGTTAAATTCTGTTTTCAGCTAATCAGCTGTTGGTTGAGTGACATGCAGTTTGAGCTAAGTTTTGAATTCAGATATTTAGTTCGGCTTGATATTGTTCTGCTCATGTACTCTCTCTTTTTGTCTCTTTACACTTATTTTATGTATTTTTAATTGTTAATTGAGTTTCCACACAAACATTTTACTTCACAATAAAGTATATTTTGATTTGATTTAACTGTGCCAAATCATCTTCAAACCTACAAGTCCAAGGTTCCCTCTAGAGTATGCGTTCAATCTAAGAGGTTCAAGTTTCTGACCTCAACATGCAGACAACAGCACTCGTAAATAAAAGCTAGTGGATTTCGGTGTACATCTCTTGACAGTTACTCACCAAAGTTTCAGCCATTTTGAACGCGCAGTTATTATGTAACAGTCATTTGAGTGAGTTGATGGTTTTTTATGAAAATGGACAAAATCGAGTATCAAGCTATCATTAAAATATTTGTTTTTGAAAGGCAATACGCCTACGCAAATCAAAGATGAGTTGGAATCTGTGTATGGAGACTTTGCATAATCATTTACCACAGTGAAATTTTTGGTCGTAAGAGCTTGGGAGACGATGAACGTTCGGGACGTCCAAAAACTTCAACTACTGAAGAAAACATCGCCAAAGTTCACCAAATAGTGCTGGACGACCACCGAATTGAAGTGAGAGAGATAGCAGAGGTTATGAACATGTCAAAGAACGTGTCTGTCACATATTAAACCAACATTTAGGCATGAGAAAGCTGTCCCCGCGTTGGGTGCCGCGTTTGCTCACGTTAAACCAAAAGAGTGTTCAAATGAACATTTCCTGCGCTCTATTGGCGCAATATATCCGAGTTTTGGAGCCGATTGATTACTGTTGATGAAACTTGGATACACCATTATATGCCCGAAACAAAAATACAGTCGCTCGGAGGACAGACGTTTTCAACAAATGAAGTGACAAGTGGTAGAGAAGAACGCCGAGTACTATTTAGACGGGTTACAGAGATGGGAGCATCGCCGGGGTAAGTGTCTAGAGTTGAAAGGACTCTATGTTGAAAAAAAACATGAAAAAAAAAGTCATGTATCTTTGTTAGGTTAGAAACTTTCCAGACCACACTCGTATTGGAAAGAAAACTTGAATATCTTTTTTACTGTTTGCATCTTCACAACATTGTTGGCCTGCATGGTTACCTTCAATGTTTGAAATCATGATATTACACTCTCTGCATTTTTTTTTGCATGCCAGCTATAACTTCTTCATAAAGCATTTTAACAAATACTAAATTTTTGCTGGTGATCCTTTAAGTTTTTTACTGCCACTGATAGATATTATTTGTTTAAAAAAATGTTCTGTAGGCTTATGGTTTTTGTTACTACTGATCAGAAAGAAAGTTGATATAGGAAAGAAGAGAAAAAATAGATCACCAGTTTAATCCATAGGATATCCACAAAAAAGGGTTATTTACACTTAATCAAGTTTCAAAATAAATCAGTGGAATTGAGTAAAAAATTATAAAAAACTTACTTTCTCTTCATCAATCTTCACTACAGACACATGACTGGTATCCAACAGTCGAGAGTTATTTTCGGACACTTCCAGGCCAGAGTCGTTGATAACATAACTCGAATCCGTTATCATAACCTCACTTTCATCCAATTTTTTTGCGTTGAACGGTTTATCTCTGAATTCTGAAGGCGGAGGATATTCCAATGAGTCAAGAGATGGACAGAATTCTTCATCCGAGGATTCAATATGAGTTTTGTTATTTTCGTTAGCTACAATGACAACCTCGTTGGCACTATTGCTTGGCGAGGATGAAGACGTTCTTGTAGGAATAGAGTTATCTATGATAACAGGAGGATGTGTCGTAACCACGGTCACCTGAAAATATAATTTGGTGACTGCACAATATGACCAATGTATTTTTCTATCCGATATTGGAGCAATTCTAAGAATGTGAAATAAATAATTAGTCCTATTTGTACTTCGTGTAAAAGTATCAATACATTACAAAGGGATATAGTCACAATTATGTATGGAATTACTGAATGAAATATATGTTTAGTTTCTTGAGAAAGATTTGTGTAGGTACAGATAATTCTCAAATTAGAAGCTAGTAATCCTTCACATCGCAAAGGCAGTATTACAAGATTGATGAGCAAAGCATAACATTAATTTCATTTTCAGATGAACAGAGTATATCTGAAAGAAATATTCAACAATAAATCTCAAGTATTCCCTAGATTGAATATTACTGAAGTTTTTTCCCAACACCAAACTGTTATTTCAACACCTCGACACGTGTTTCGATCACCAAGTGATCATCTTCAAGAGGGAGATCAGTTTGATCTTCCTCTTGGTGTCCCTAGTCCCTAGTTTGTTTGTTTGTTCGTAGTGACACTGGTTAATTCAATTGACTCAAATGAATGATATTGAAATTTAAAACAACTGAAGTGAGCAAAGTTAAATATATAGCCCGAATGAATCACTCAAAACAAATAATAACTTTTAAGACATCAATATTATCAATGTTGAATCTTGTCCAAGTATGAGGCTGATAATACAAATTTCCTGGAACAGTTTTTATATGAAAAAAGCTTTTTTAAATGAATGAATGTGTTTATTGTATAGAAAAATATACCAATAACACAAAGCGGGGAGATATGTTCTGATCTCCTCATTATAATCTATGATAATGTATGGAACATACATCAATGAATGTTTTGAGGTTTAATTTTGATGAATTGTGGACTAGGGTATTGAATATAGACAGAAATCTACAACGGGAAAAAAATTACAAGCAAAAACTGAATACATTTTTAGCTTATCATATCTTTTATAATAGGATACATTTTTGAATTTTTTGAATTGTATTCTGAATGTATATTGTATTATCTAGAGAAAGTTCTATTTTAACTACCTCTTTTCTGGCTAGTCTGTTAAATTTGTGTGACATCAACACGGAATTGATTTTATTCTATTTTATCCTATCTAATAATTTTTTTAATTTAAAATAATTTTCAAACTTGTTGTTAGTGTATGAAAGAAAAACCCTTACCTGACTTACATTCGAGGCTAAACTATTAGAAGTATCTGGCATATTTGAATTTATTGTGATCATCGATGTGTTCTTATTTTTTTCTGACTGAGCACTAGGCATAACAACAAAATTCAAACTATCATCAGGTGTGGTAGCATTAGAACTGGTTACCGTCACTATATCTCGTAATTTTTCCGATTTTGCTTTATCATGTGAGAGCATTTCACCAAGCTTCTCTTCAATGACTTGCTTGATTTCCGAAATATTCATATTGATGTCATCAGTTTCATCATGTCTTACATTTTCCTTAGGAGAAGAATTGTAGTCAACTGGTGGAGGCAGGGGAATACTCTGAACAATTTCATTATTATTTTGCTTCAAGTTGAGGTTATGTACCTGAGTATCTGAAACCACCGCGGGCATAACAGGCGGAGTATCTGATGGAGTGATAGGGGACGAAGGAGGAGTCGGAAGAGGTGGGATAATAGGGGGTGGGGGCGCCGGGCCCTTTTCTTTGTCTGAGGAAGTGGAACTCGTCGATAGCTGTGTTTGCAATGGTGGAGGAGGAGGCGCTTTTCCTTTATCACGGGATGTCTTTCTCTGGACTTCTTCCTTCTTTTCTGACTGTGGAATAATTGATAATGATTAGAGTATATCTTCCTTAAGTTAAAAAAATATGTGAAACAGTTTTAAAAAAAAAAGCGGGCAGAACATAAATGAAAATTCATTGAAAATTTGTTTTTAATTTATAGCTGGTGGGGTTAAAGTGAGTGGTTTGTTCTACTCATTCAATCAAATGCTGTTGGAACGGTGGTTCGAACCTCACAGCCGGACGATTGATTTTCACTGTGTATCATTCAAACTGTGCTGGGAATCACATGTTGAAAGGTTGAGATCTCTTTAATCCTTAGATTGCACAAATTTTGACTACTGAAGATTGTTATCAGACAAAAATTTGTTTTATCCTAACTCACCGTTTTAACATTGTTTTGTGATGTTTCCACTGTAGTAGTTGAAGACTCAGCATTTTCTTCATTTGGCAATATTGGTTTCTGTATTTCTTTCTCAGGTACTACAGGTATCGGAGGTAGTGGAGAAGAAGGTACAGATAGACTTGCTGAAATATACGAGTTGAAAGAAGTTTGGGAATAAATACAAAAACGAATACCTTTACTGTCAGTTTCGTTAACAGAGGAATTATCATCTTCAATGTCGAGGGGAACTTGTGACGTGCGGTTGTCCTAAAAACATTATTTTTGTTGAGATAGTGATTTCAAGCATATGAGGTTAAATCAATCATTAAGAAATATAAAACAAACATATAAACTATTAGTGTTTATGTTGATGTGTGGAAGACAGATAATTCGGGTTCAATTTTGGGGATAGAATGAAATGTCAAATGAAAATAACGTGGTCTAGTGGCATTGCGGACTAGTGACATCAATTAGTAAACACACCCAAAGGCTCAAAAAAATGAATAGATTTCTGTGAAAATCACATTAGACAAATATGTTGCAGCTGAAGAACGATGAGATGTCTGCGCACCCTAGAAAAAACATTCAGGTTCCAACTCTCCTCTTTATTCTTTCAGCATTTCAAGTTCCCTCCCTACCACTGTGATTTTCACAACATTTTTCTATCAGCTTCAAGTTTGCTCATGATTATATTATAAAATGAATTAAATACTGTTCTGCATGCAGAAAGAACTCTATGGACTGGAAACCTAAGATTAAGTTTGTTCAGTATCTGTTAAAAGGGAACCTTACTGCTTTTCCACTGGACCTTTCATTTCAATCATTAATTAAATTCTTCCAAACAGAATAGTTTACTTATTCCATAACAAAAACTAAAGACTATTGAAAATATAGATTCTAGAACATGAAAACAAAAGCTCTTCTCTATTCAAAGCAAGCATTTTATGTAATAGAACAAAATCAAAAGAAATAGAGTTAAACTTGCCAATTCAAGAATTAACACTACAGAATGGAAAATGAAAGAATACAATTCATCAATTTTTCAAAAGTTGCAGATTTCAATTGTAAAAGCTGGTCGGAAAAGCGGATCTAATTCCAATAGAAACAAACTCCGGTAAAATCAAGTTCTATGAAAGATCAAAAACCATATTCGAAAAGGTTTAGAACTTTCCAATTCATCAATATAATCGATATAATACTGGATTCTTGAAACAATTACGAATCTTCATAAAAACGGGAACGGAAAATTACAGAAGTCTCACCTGAGCAATTATGCCAGGGCGGGGAGGACCCGGAGAGCCGCATGCATAAAAAATACAAGCCTTGATAATATCGACTCAACAATTTGCAGAGATACAGTGAAGCTTCCATTTGTATTCCAAGAAACGTTAAGGTAAAATAATAATAATAATTTTTGGGAAAAAACAGTTTTTCGATTTCTGCATCATTATACAAAAAATATGGGAATCTTTCAAAGAAAGGAAACAAATAATTAACTTTCTGTGTGTAATTCAATGTTTACATCCTGAAAAGTAGTTGTTTTGGTTGGGCTTTTTCTTCTAGTTTGTATCTGAAAGTAATTTCTGTGCACATCTATGTAAACAGTTTTATTGAAGTAAATTACTTTCTTCCGTTTTTCAGGAGTTGCCTGTAATTTTTATATAATGATGCAGAAATAGAAAGCCAAAATGTTTTCCAAAAACACTAATCACTCCCAAAAAAGATATTCTTTTCAATTTAAACGAAATTCCTATGACTGGTATTGAAAAAAATATCGATATTGTTAATACTATTTAGAAATATAAGCACTAAAATGTTTTGCCTGAGTATCTCAAAATACATTATATCTTGACCATCTTCAAAGGAAAGAATTTCGATATTGATGTTTTCCAAAAACTTAAGTGAATCATCAATATCTATGTTCCCGCTGATAAAAAATCAGTAATAAGACTCGTTTTGACAAACCTTTCCTTCTACCTATATTAATCGCCTATTTTTTTCTACTGTATGCTTTTATATAAATACATGTAATTTGGTGATTAATAAACTACTACTACTACTTCTACTACTACTAAATTAACTAACTATTTGATGGTTTTCACGAACTATTATTCCAACATGACATAAAGTCGTAATTTTGTGAAAAAAATGAGTTTTTCCTCTTGTAAAGTTATCCAAAATTGTTCCAATGAGAAGATAAAGGTAAGTGTCTTTGACAAAAAGGTTAAGGCTTTCTCGGCACTATTCACCAAAATCTTGATTGTTTACCATGTAAAAGTGAAATTTTCATATCAATACTCTTTATATGTGTAATGTTCCAGTGAATGATATCTGTTTCAATACGGATATTTGCAGTACTGACTGAATAAGAAAAAGTGATTTCTGTGAAATTAAATGATCACATACTTGAAAGTAGTTGTTTTGGTTGGATTTTTTCACTTGTTTGTATCTGAAAGAAACCTCTGCATGATTCACAAATCTTTATAGTGGATTTTTATTGAAGTTACTTTGTTCCTTTCTTCTGAAGTTTCTCATATTTTTATTTTTTATATAGGGATGGGGAAGTTGAAAGCCAAAAATCTTTTTTCCCAAAAACTTACCTCTCCAAGAAATTTAATAATAATATGTATTGTTATAAAAAGTACCAATACTTAGTGCTTGAACTACTTTGTCAGAAAGTCAATAGTTTTTTTATGAATAAGTTGTTGTTTTTGTCTTGAATTGGTAATAATTATTTAGATCCTTTAGGAAACTATACCAATTTGTTACAAAGGGATAAGCCATTATAGATGATAGTAAACTTTTTGAACGTGGCATATTTATGCTTTGGTATGATGATTCCACAATATACTGAATTCATTAAAGTTATTTTTCTTTAAAGTGAAAATTGTTCTTTGAACGCAGGTTTGCATTATTTCATATACTTTAAATCAAAAATAAATTTCATGACTCTTTTAAAATGTAAACAGTAAACTATATTCTGTTGGTAACCCATAATGACCCCATTTTTAAAAATGGCTAAGCAAATGCATAATATGAGCTGAATAGACCTTCTTTGTCCAGTACTAATTTCATCTTGAGACTTTCATAATGAAATATGTTAAATTTAGAAGACGATAAGAGACTGTTACCAGAAAGTTTGTTTTTCCCAATAGATCGCAAATCCATGCAGAATCTTTAGGGGGTCATTTGATACCTCTTAAAAATATACTTCATAGTCCTAAAGTAAATAATAAGTTTTAGCCTTATGTCATCAGTTATAGGCGATACATATATGAAAATCTTCAAAAATTAAAAACAATAACCCAAGTAGGGGAGTAATTTTCCAAACCCATGAATTCAAAATGAGACAGAAAATCTACGGCTACCATGAAATTAGTTTTTTATATTAAATCGATCAATTAATTCATCATGTCTTCTGTTGATTTTTTGGATACTATTTTAGTGAAAGAACAAGAGAAATAAATATTATTATTTATTGACAGCAGTTATGATTTTCTAAGGGTAACTATATTATAAGTTTTACCAACAGATTAACAATAATAATCGTTTATTTCCACAAAAACAGTTTTCTAGAGAACGTTAAGCTTGAAATTTGGGAACTTCATTTCACTGAACCCGATTTTGTCTCTTTCAGCTATTACTAAATATGAATAAGATTCGTACATAAAAGTAGAAGTTAAAAAAGGGCTCACCATTCCAGTATGTACAGACACTGGGTGAATGAAATTCAGTCAATGAAAGACAATATAGAAAATAGTAAAAGTTACAGAGAAGGTTAAATATAATATGCGGCTCATTATTGTGAAGTGAATCTAAGCTGTTACTCTTCAATATTAGACATATTCAGAAAAAGAAAAGAAGAATTATACAAGGTGTAGTTTTTCTTGGGCGGTCACCTCATCTATAAATCAGTATTTTTGTTAAGTTTTCTAACATTTTTAATGATGACATCAAATATTTATAAAAAATTTTAGTTGTTTCAATAATACTAAGTTATCATTAGTAAGGATTGAATATTTCAAGAACTCAAAAAGTGTGATTTGGCATTTTTCTTTCATGATTTAAATTGAAATGGCAAATGTATCTCAATTTTTAGGAAACCAACTTCATGGAATATCGGGACAGAACAATAGTTTGTGATTTTTTGACTAGACTTGTCCAATTGAATGGATAGAAAATCAAGGAGTGGTCCGGACTTCACTTGATTTTTTCTCTTGGGTACTCTGAAGGATTGAATATTGTAAAGGAGGGCTGTCAGATCGAGCACCTATTGTAAATTAAATTATGAATAATGTATGTGATTCGTGATACTTGGCCATGTTGATTGATAATTTACATCCAATCATTTTCTTTTCCTCTCGATTGATAAACCAATACTAATGATATGTAAAAAGAAATTCAGAATAAAAAATGAGATCTATCACTAACTAATACTGATAATATTGTCAATCCGAAAAGCTACTTGAATTTTCGGTGATTAAATTCTATAATAAAATAAGTCCTCCGCCGCGTTTGTCTGTTTCTATGCGGTAAAATAAAAAACTTGAACAGATTCCATACGGAGTAATCCTAGAGAAAGGTTTATGTGTATATCTCATTGATGTTTTGTTCAAATTATTTAAATACAATGGTGGTATCCTGTGCGAAGCCGGGTAGCTTTCATCTAAAATGCTGCCTAATCCCTTCGACATATAACAAAACAATCCACAATATAATCTTTCTTTATTATAGGTCTGCAGAAAAGTTCGCGATGGCAATCTTTTAAAGTTAACTATAAAGTTTGAATTAATGATTTTAGGAATTATCGCAAAATTAAAATTAGCGAGAAAATAAATTCAAGGAGCATCTCACAACAATGCACGCATGATGAAGAAAGGTTGTTCCAATTGCTTACCACTTTGAAGCAACGACTGATGACGTCTGCCGCAGTAGCAGACATAACGTTTGGTAATCTAGGTTCCATTAGACAATGGCCTACCAGCCCGGAATTTCTATTTAATCATGATTTAGGTTATCCATATATCGTTTGATTTCAGTGAACCGGTCCCTCATATTCGTATAAAAGATGACGAGCTCCCTCTGTAACCTTGCTTCACTGACTTCAGCTAAGGTCTCCTATGTACATCCTCATTTTGTTCAATTGTACTCTCAATGGACTGTGTCCAGTGAGTAGCCATGTATTGTTTTGAGATGATCTCTGCTTTGTTGAAGAAGTTTTTCAGTTCTCGTTTCGGATGATTCCTTTATATTATTATTATTCCTTTATATTAATATTATTATTATAAAGGTTTTTCTATGATTTGTTGTGTGTTTCCAGAACTCCTTATGTTTCTTGTAGACCCAATCTACTCATTCTGGTTCCATACCAAAGATTTTGGTACACCCATACCTGGTTCCTCTATATATGAAGTTGATGATCCGTGTCTGGAGTACTCATCAGCTCAGATAACTAAGTGTCCTTACATCCAGTATATAGTCAATCCATTTCTGTCCGTCAGTTTTCTCAGTTCTTCACAGCATTCCCAGACTAGTCTCTATGTCACTTTTAGACTCATCAGTGCCCCAAGTGCAGCCTGGTGACTTGTGAAAATACTGATCTACTCCTTTTGTTGAGACAGCAAATTAATGTTCTTCGCGCATTGCCTGGAAGATTGATGTGTACTGACCAAGCAGGCAACTGAAATGAAGATTTTCCCCGCACAGTAAATTCCAACTCCCGTCCCATGTTCAGTTATTGTATATACCCAGTTTGAGTTGAACAAGTATTTTGGTGTCATCTGGCTGTGACCATGTTCCACACATTCAGAAATGTTTTGCTATCAAGACGGATACGATATTATTCTTTGTTAAATTAAATACTTTAAGCAATTCATGCACATTGTAATTCTCTGTTCCATCAAAGAATTTAAATTATTATACCAGGATTTGTTGCAAAATTAAAAATAAACTCAAGCGGCCTCACACATCAAAAGCGATACACGTTATGAAGAAAGATTGCAGTTGCGTTGGTTTTGTTTGATGTACTTTGAAGATTAAGGTCGCATTTTTTGTTTTGTGTTGTCTTCAAGTACTTGTCTATTTTGAAATTGATAGAAGTGAATATACTTTTGCTTAAGTGAATGTTATCAAAGGTCATTATTATTAGATACAAGATGATGCGACACTGACAGAAAAAAAAGTTGGAATATATGTTCTGTCATCCCTGCAAAGCCGGATGACAGAAAAGCGCTAGTAAGTACTGAACCAAATAAATTCAATTTGTTACAATGAAGAAGATCCCAAAAAATCTTTTGTGAATTTGGTAAGTATTCAGTCTATTGATAATGAGTTCATATTTGACAGATATCTAAGTTCATCATTAAACATTGGAAGTGGCCCAAAAATACTCACTTTCTTTGGCATATTTCACATAATCTAATGTAACTAATACACAAATATGCCTCTATCTAACCGTCTTCTCAGTAACTCATAGTTTTCAAAATACTAATGCTTTGCAAGGATTCGAATTCCATTCAGCTAGTATAAAAACGATTCTTGGAATACTTTCCAGAAAGCTCGTTTCCCACATTTTAATTTCGGGTTTTCATTACTTAGATTTCTATTTTTAACCAAAATGTTCACATTACAATATTTAAACTTACCAATCCGCTGGTAAAGCCCTTTATGCTTTCGATGCTTCCTACCCCGCTAGCATGAAATTATTACAATACCATTAAACACTATAAGCTGTGAATTGAGCACATCCTTGTAACACATACACTTTCGAAATACCAAATCAGCTAATCAGAAGAACAATAGGATTTGAATGCGAATAAACTCTATGAAAAAAATTAGTTCCAGGATATGGAGCGTTAACATTGTTCTATCTGGCTATTACTTCATTTCAATGGTAATTCATTAAGTAGTGCATAAAGATGATGAAAAATGTAACTACATGCTGAAATAAGATACTTATCCTGAGTGTAAAAAACTAGTGAAAAAACCAACTCACTAATGAAAATTCATTTCTTCTCAAACGGCATTTCTAACATAAGCAAAGACAATCGAAAATCCTATTTTAATTTGATGAGTTATTTATCAAAGAAATATATTACCAATTATTGCCAATAAAGGTGATCTACTATTTCTTTAAGGTTATGGGGCCGTTCAAGTATTACGTAAACATATTTATTACAATTCCCCCCCAACCCCTTATCAGCAAAAGTTAGCAAAGCTCTTACCCCCTCCCATGGTTACGTAAACATTGTTATATGAATTTCTCATTTTTCAAACATAGACAATGTGTGGGTTGCCATATGGGTGAAAAAGTAAATAACTACTGCTGACGTAATCACCATTTAGACCCCTCGCCCCTCATGTCATAAAAAATAAGCAAAGCAAACCCCCCGCCCCCCTCTATAGTGTTTATGTAATACTTGAACGGCCCCCTTCAAGAATGAGACTTATGCCCGCTTTTTCAAAAATATATGGAAGCTTACTCCTGGCATGACAACTTCAAATCTAAAACAATTTTCACATAACAGGTGGTTGAAAAGATAATAGAAGATGAATGGTCAGTTTTATAAATGGATTCTTCAAAGATACATCACATACAATTGAAGTTTTACATTTAAAATTTCAAGTTAAAACCAGTTTTTTACAGTAGTACTGTATAAATTAGTGACAAAATTGAAAGTAAACAAAAATGTTTTTGGGAGCCAAAACCTGAAAATTCTGCACGATTTTTTAGTAACTTCTAAATCGAATTTGTTTTTTGGTCCCTATTAAACAATCAACACAGAAAACAATACCGTTAAAAACAAACTTTTAATAACCATAGACTTACCTCAGGGTCATCATCAGTGAGTTCTTCCTCAACGACCTCAGCCTTATATTCGAGTAGCAAGTCTCTTATAGGCTTAGAATCCAAAGTACAATTGATAAAGGGGTGTTTCAAAAGATCTTCGCAAGAAGGCCTCTTTTGTGGATCCTTGAAAATAAGAGAGAGATGAGAAGAAATACTTTCAATAAAAAAATTCAATTTCAGATTACATTTCTATGTCATGAAGTCTAATTTTATGGGGTCGTTCAAGTATTACGTAACGAAACGTAATGTAAACCGTTACGATGCGTTACAAGGACTTTAGGGGAGTTCGAACAATGTGTTACGTAACATTGTTTTTTTTTAATTCAAATATAGAAGTAGGAAATTGAAGTCCCCCAAGTTGGCTACCCTTTTTGTTTTATGTTTTACGGGGAATTCCTCGACTGTATTGTATGTTAATCTTATTTTGTTCAAGTTGTCAGTATTCGTAAATGATTTAAATGCATAATACGGAGAAGCATATTAGAGTGATCAAAGCGCTTGCAACACAATATATATTTTTTAAGCCTATTTTAGCAAAGCCTATCGTCAACAAATCACGTTTTTTGTTAATTAAGTCACTTCAGTACGAAAAGTATGTTATTTAAATTATGGATTATTTTTTTTAGCTTTCCGTTTCTTATTGCATTGCCAAAGGTTAAATTGAGTATGTGATTTTATTTCAAGAAAATATTAGTGAAAATAAAGCTGAAATAGGAAAAAGCATGAGAGGAACAATAAATGATGAAGCCAAAAATGTATATAAGAAAACTGTAATTAAATGAAAATTAGTAGTAAAAGTATATAAGTTGAGTCTATTTTATTATACTCAAGTAAATGTTAATTTAATTTATAGGTGATTTTTGAATAATAATATGAATAAAATTAACAATATCCTCATCGCGTATAGTTATAAATATTTTGTTTTATTGATACCGCAAACGCGATTAAAATAATAACAAAGGCACTTTAGCGACTAGCCAACATAATTGTGACTTTTAGGTAAAAATGGTCACTTGGGTGTTACGTAACGTTTAGGGGGTGAAAGGGGGTACTGGAAAACGTCGGGAAGTTCAAAAATCTTCAAAAATTGCGTCACGTAATACTTGAACGGCCTCTGTTAATGTAGTCATTTAAATCTTTTGCAAAAAATAGTCCCTATTATTCTATTAGTGGAAAGTCATAGCTGCCAAACCTATTTTTATGACAGATAGTTTGTAAAGTAAATTATTTGAAGGGTTCACGGTCATGGTCTTTTGTATTATCTCTTTCTTGCATTGATGACTGTGACCTATTTTAGTGTTTCCAACCCAACTGATTGGTATTTTCATAAGAAGTTACCTATAATTTTGTAAACTGTTTAATGAAATCTCACAATAAAGCGTTAGTTAAATTCGATATCATGAATTTTCATCAAGTATTAGCCAATTTCCAAACATATCTCAATTTTTTTCTATCTGAGATTGTATTTGTATCTAGGATATTGTTTTCTGACATGATACCAAATACAACTTTAGAGACAATAAAGCAAATCTTGAAAAACAGTAAAACAATAAACTCCAATGCTATTTTACCTTGATCAAAGCTTTTACTAAAAAGTCGTTGAACTCCTTCGACCACTTCGAAGGTTGTTCCAACTTTGGTGGATCTGACTTTTGTATTTTGAGAAGTACTCGCATGGGCGACATCTCGTGATTGGGTGGTTCCATTTGGGCAAATTCGATCAACGTAATGCCCATCGACCATATATCTACTTTGTAATCATAGGGATTGTCACGAAAAGTTTCGCACAATACTACTTCGGGAGCCATCCAATACGGGGTTCCTATAAATGTATCGTGCTTCTGGAGGGTGTTCTTGTTCTTGGCAGAAACACCAAAGTCGGCTGAAATGAAAAACACAAATATGAAAAATGCTTCAAATAATTAAATAAAGTTAACATCAGATGGAAAGATGATGAACAATTTATGGGAAAGCTGGATTATCTTCGAGAGGGATATTAATCAATCAATCAATCAAAATATGCTTTATTGACTAAGATACTCTTATTGATGAAGCTTGTATAGAAAAAAATGTAAAAAGTAATTATATATCAATACATAGTTATACATATATAATACAGGTCACAATATATATCTAGTAACTGAAGCATTGCGCGAGCGCGCATCCTCATACACACACGCACGCATGCGCGCACGCACACACACACACACAAACATAATATAGTTTTGTCAAAATATTAAAGTATGATAGAATTTATAGTAAAATATCAATATGTTAAAATATACAAATTTGCCAATAGGATCTGACACTCTTCCATTTAACACATTAGTTGTGAAGTTGTCAGTGAATAATTCGTCTGCAGTATGATAAAACTTTTATCAACAAGAGTTCCTCCACTTTCTTGCGAAAAACTGTGTCATTGAATATATTTTTTGATGAGAGGGAAATATGGTTAATTTATTTATTTTTCCATTATAAAACAGTGATTTTCTGATGCTTGATGTTGAAGGAATGGGAAGAGTGATATTGTGAGTGAGAAGGTAGCAACTTTGCTGTAACACATTATTTTTCTTGTATTTTCTTTTTACGAGGCAAAGTGGAAGTATATGATGTACTGAAAAAAAGGTGTCTACAGGAATCTTGAACTCTGGCTTTGCACGAATATCTCACAGCCCTTTTTTTGAAGGACAAAATAGAATTTATTAATGTTTGGGAACTTACCCCCCAGTAACAAATCACATAAGGCAGGTGTGATTCACAAAAGGGTAAAGAAGGGATTTCATGCTGAATGTTATCCAACACACAGTATGTTATTCACTAAGAAAAAGCTATTGCGATAACGAAACAAGTGAAATTTGGAAAATAAAGTTTATAAAGATCAAATCGTTTTCAGTGTAGTATGTGAAATTATCCAACTGAGTTGGATATAGATCGTATGGCAAAGCAGCCTGACGATAACTCATTACACAATTGAAATAAACGATCCAAAGTTTAATTTTTCTTTTTTTTTTTTTTGAAA